CTCTCTCTCTCTCTCTCTCTCTCTCTCTCTCTCCAGTACATCCTTGAGTAAAGACAATCCCACAAAGCTTACCCAGACACCCTCGCACACATTAATGAATCCACACAGCCTTACATTCACAGAACAGAACAGCATGAATAAACTATACTGAGAGAACATAATAGATACTGAGAGAACATAATAATATTTGTATTGGGAATGTCGGAAATTACAGATTGAAGCTGGACTGAAACAAATGAGTTTTAAGTGCTGATTTAAATTTTTGATAAAGTGGTAGACTCCCGTAGATGGTAAAGCGTTCCACAGGGAGGGGGCGTTGTGTGAAAAGGCTCTCCCTCCGAGTCTCTGACTTTTGCTTTGGACAGGTCTTAAAAGTCTTTTCGTCGGCGATCTTAAAGGCCGAGGTGGTATATATTCGATGACCATGTCACAAAGATAGGATGGTGCAATGTTGTTGACGCTCTTAAAACAATCAATGGTGTACCACGTTCTAAACATATCCTTTAAAAAATTATGAAACGTCACCGAAAACAACGTATAGCTTACCAAGTCGTGCGTCATGACATAAAATACTTCTTTAACGTCACCAAAAACTCTCGAATGATATACCTCGGCATGACTTTAAACATCCATAAAAACGAACACAATGACGTAAGTTTACGTAACATAAAACGTCACCCAAACCCTCCATTGACATAAGTTTACGTAACATAAAACGTCACCCAAAATTCCCCCAATGACGAACCTGGTCAGCAAAGGCGGGAGAGCCAGTAGCGGATCGAGAAGAGCCTGGAGTGATCCCCCCTCGTACAGCTCAGTCACAATGTACAGATTGTTCCCCACACGGAAGTGAGAATGATACTGGACTAAAAATCTGGGAGAAACATGTTCTCAAGACATAAATCGCTACCATAGAATTGCAAAGTTCTGTCTGACATTTTTGACGTTTTGAGTTACTGAGACGGTTAGTTCAAAAGTTTGAACGTCAAATTTCTCAAAACAAGGTACTCAGCCGATAGAACTGTGTAATTCTAATGTTAATGTAACATCCGTCAATCAAAACTTTGTGGTTTGGTCCTTCTTTCCCACCAAACGTCTATCCCCCATTTCTGTCCCCTTTCTTTTCTTTGTAATGTTTCTCTCTGGTAATACCCCTAATCTTCGCCACTCATATGACATGTTTGTTTTGCTAGTGCTGTAATACTCTTACTGAAACTAAAGTACAATTTTACTATGGACTGGAAAGAGATGGCTTATAAATTTTTAAAAAGAAATTTTGCTCCCAGGAAGTGCACGAAATATTGAAGGTAAAACGGAAATACCCTTAATGTTATGGAAAGATTCAAAAATGGAAACTAATGTTCCATGGTATATGATGGAGTTTTATCTATATGAATGAGATAAGCTATCACTGTTTTAAAAAATTAGTCTTTAAAAAAATGTTTGGTCCATAGGGAAATGATGCTTTTTTTTTAAGCTGGAAATTTGTTGAGCATAGAAAATTAATGTTACCCCCCCCCCTCACACACACACATAATAATACACATGTTTGAGCCACACTTGAACACAAACACACACTTATATTACCGACAAGAGCTATCATATTATACTCGTGGGGTTACATTCGTAACGAACTCATTGAAGACACGCAATACGTGTTCATTGAACCGAAACAACTAAAAGTGTCAACAGCTATATAT